CCCCCCCCCCCCCCCCCAACAAAACACAACAAAAAGCCTTACCCAGCTCAAAATATACATCCTAATCTCAGGTCCCAGAAGGCACAGTTAGTTCTGATGCCTTTGGCTCGGTCTCCTGGGGGACACTGCATGCAGCGGTGAGGGCCGTAGCTCAGTCAATTGTCTCTGCATAGGTACCTGGAGATGGGGTGCTCCTTGCCATCCAGAATGACACTAACCAGTCCAGCTTATTTTCACCATCACCGACAGATTCTCTTCACACAATAGGACCAGTCCTATAAGTGTGAGGAGCTCCATGCAGCTGAAGATGCTGCAGGTCACAAGACAAGTCCCAGCCTTTCATTGACAGGCCGAAGCAAGGGAGAAGAGATTGTGGTTGCCGTGGCAATCTTGATGGTCATTTATTTCACTCAAGGTCTTTTGGTCCCATCAGTCCTGACAGGGTCTCTCACAGAAGACTCCTTGTCCAGCAAAGGCCCTAACTGGGAGACAGAAGTCCTTGACTTTCTCCTCCCCCATCTGCTTCAAGCCACTGTTCCATGGCATCAGTCCAGGCTGCAGGCCTCAGCTGAGCAAAAGCCAATATTCAGGTCTGGCTCTACCACGCAGTGCACCATGAAGTTCCTTAAGGCAGCACAAAGGAGGTCGCAGCACAATATGCATCATGGAGGTACACAAACTCCAAGCCAGGGTCGGTACAGGCCAAGAGCCTATATGGCACAAGTAGTCACTAGAGGGAGGGCTCCTTACTTGGCATAGGCAAAGATCCCCGTTTGTGCTGTGGTGACCTGTGGCAACCCCTGTCCTTCCCTGGGTTTACCACTTTAAGAAGGATCCATTAGCTTTGTGCTGAATCACAGAGTACACTGCTCTGACAAGGCCCAATTTGGCATCTCCCTTATGCAGACTTCTAGGGCTTTGGCTGCAAAAACAGAACACAAAAACCTAGGAAGTGCTGCAGGGTACTGGCTTGCACTGTACTGTTTTCCTGGGACAAGAGAGAGCAGTGCAGAGGCAGAAAGGGATACTGGGCCATTGAGCATGATGCACAGAAGCATAAATAAAAGAGTCAGGATAGAGGATAGGAGTGAGGAAAGTCTTAGAAGGTATGGGGCTGGTGGAGGGAACAGACATGTACCTCAGTCCTCTAAGGTAGTCACCCTTCCTTTGCTCAACATAGACTTGACACTTCCCAAGCTCTGTGCCGTCTCTGGTTACAGGTCAGCACCTCTCTGTGCTGCCTCAACACAGCCCACCCCTGCTAATACAAACCTACCATAGGGAGCCTGAACTACAAGTAGGGCTGAACAACAGGTTCACACATCGTTAAATCTAAAATCCCCTTTGTCAGGGAGGGAAAAGGCCTCTGGATAAGAGACTCCTTCCCCCACACAAGTGAATGGCTCCGGTCCAAGCAATGCACCAGCGGGAGCCCCACTGAGCTCCCTCAGGCATCTGTTGTCTATACAGCAGATGAAGGTACAACTGCAGTACAGATATGCCAGCCCACAACACCTTTATATTGCTAGTTCAAGTAGCAGTGAAGATATATAGCAACTTCAGTGTGAGCTGGAAGATCAAGTACACACTCAACAGCCCCATCAGGCCTGTGTTGCCCCCTCTTCACTGCCATCATTACCCACAGGAGCCAGATCAATGCTAGCCTGCCTTTATTGTCTGCATAGCTCTATCCTTTGTGGGCAAAGTGGCCACTGGTGCTCCAGCAAGGTGCTCCTCTCAGCAATGCTGCCAGCTTGTAACTCTATCCCTCCCCACCCAACTCCTTATTCAAAGGATGAGTCATTTCAGGTCACGGAGCAGGCAGCTTTCTCTAATACAGTAGCTCTTAACCTTTTTTGTACCAAGATCTGTTTGTAAACATCAAATGACCAGTCCAGATCCAGTGCCCCACACTCAACAACCTGCTGTCCCTGACCCCCAGCCCCCCAAGCATGTAGGGTATGCCCCCCACAAAAAACCCCCCAGCCCCTTGAAGGCTGAAACTCTACCAGCCTGCAAAGGGAAAGCCACAAATTCCCCCTTTTTTCTTCTTTAAAGGAGAATCCATTTTTAAAGTGTGTAGGATCCATTTTTTAAAGTTTGTTCGCGACCTCTTCATATATTATTGTGAACCCACTTTTGGATCATGACCCACAGATTGATAAATGCTGCTCCAGCAGATCTTTAAAGGACAAGGGACTGGTTATAGGTGGTTCAAAGAGAGCTGATCCTGGCCAGGAAATCACCACATTCTTGGCAGTTGTCACAGCAGCTAGGCAGCTGCACCGATGATGAAAAGGTTAAATGTGATAAACGACTTAAATTCCAAAATCTACCAGCACAGACTGCAGCAGTATTGTGAAAGCAGCCCTAGAAGGAGCTCCTGATAAGAGCCTGAAAGGGTCAATGCCTATTCTGTAGTCCCAGGAAGGAATGTGCTTTGAAAGAAGCAGTGAGGACATATCAGGAATGTGCTGTGTGCGAAGGTCTCTGAAAGAGAGATCAGTGGCTCTGCCAGGAGGAGGGAGAAAGAATGAGCCACAGAAGGAAAAAAAAAAACAAAACAAAAAAACAGAGAGGAAGGGGAAAACACAGCAGGTAAATCCAGAGCCCATTAGATAGCAGCTAGGCCAACTCCCTCCTACCCACTCTAGCTCCATCTCTTTCAGCCCTGTTAAAACAAGCTTCTGGGAAGTTACCAGCTGAAAGCAGACAATGCTAGCACCAGCAGGACATAGCATCGCTGGGGAGAGGCTAGGGCCCCTCAAGTCACAGCAGAGCCAGGCAAAACCCTTTGGTGCAGGTACTGCCACTACCGCAGAAAGGAGCCAGCACTGCCAGGGCTCCTGGCCCAGCTTTCCAGACCCTGGCTGCAACACACATGAAGGGAAAACCCAATCTGGTAACTGAAAAAGTGTACCAAAATCCTGGGTGCAAAAGATAGATGCTTCAAAACCAGACTCCTTCTCAGCCCTACAGCCATTACTGTGCATTTGTGTTGGTAACGCTGAGTTCCAGTCATGGAACAGGGCCCCAGAGGCACAAACCACCAGCTCCAGCCCCAAGGAGCTTACAAGCTAAGCTCAGGTTCCAAACTCTACACAAACTATAAAATGGTCACCCATGGGCACATCTCCACTGAAAAATGCACTGCAGGGTACAGTAGGCTGGGTAATTAGCATGTAGGCAGGGTTACTGGCTACACAGCAGTGCTATTCCAGTGAAGCACTGCCACTTCCAGAAGCAGTATGCCTGGAACGGTGCAATGCGCTTGAGCCTGCCCCCACCTGGAACGGTAAATTTGTCAAGAAGAGCAAGACAGCCAAACTGGGGCAGGGAGAAGAGTGGGATTACTTCTCTGGACAGTGACCAGAAGCCGCTTATGAGAACATTTTCTGTCTCCTCCCCAATCTCTTTTTCTCATAATCAAACTACCCCTGCTCCCTGAAAGTTTGAAGCATGCAGCATTAGAGGATGTATTTGATTATGGGGGGAGAGGGAAGGATTTGTCATCCCTGTTGACACCTGGTTTATCAGAGATTAGGATTGCAAGGAATGTTCACCACAATAGGGCTCCCTCTACACCCCCCCGCCCCAAGGTGAAGCGCAGTGTGATGGAAAGTGGCCAGCATTCCAAAACACTCATTTCTGACTGATTAGACATGGCATAATAAGGCAGGCTTTTCTACAGCTGGATTAGTACACAAGGCACGTTCAGGCCTGCAGGAGCTCTTACTGTTTCAGCTGAAGGGAATAATCATAAGCGACAGGTTGGAGGATATGAGTGTACTGAGCCGTTAGGCCTCAACTCTGTCCCCTATGCCCCAGACAGAACAAGAAGAAATCACAAACAGTTTAAAAACACAGCTGGTGGTGTCTGCTGCGGAGATGCCGACAAAGATGACAAAAGAGACTTGCCACCCACAGCAAAGTGTGGTGCTCCATCAATAGCTTCAGGGCCACACACTCCCTGGTATCTGGGCTGAGACTTTGGATCCCAACACCTTTAAGTGGAGGGGTTAGCCTCGGCCTTGTTACAGCTGGTTGTATATTAAATGGTTGAAGTTTAATGTTCCTTTCACCTCTGCCTAACTAAGTAAAAGCATCATACCCACCTCTGTCCAGCTACAGCTTTTCTTGAGGGGTGGGGCAGCAGCAGGTGAATTCAGCTCAGGTCCTCAGGATCCTGAAAGATATAGGGTGTGAAAGGTTAGCACAGGGTCCTCAACACACTGCTCTCTGCTTGCTGCAGACAGGTCCACTGGCTCTCCCTCCCAGCCAAGCTCACAGTTCCCTGCACTCCAGACGGAGATCAGGCTGGTGCCTTTGTTCCCCTAGTCTTGCCTTCAGCCACCATGAGAGAAAGACTGCCTTAATCTAATCTAAAGTCCCGGCTTTCTCTAACTATTCAGTTCGTCTACTAAAGATACCAGATTGACCCAAAGGACCCTGTCTGCCAGTGCCATGTCCTTAGACCAACACCCCAAGCATCTGTCCCTGGTCAGCTGACCGGAA